TAGCTCGAGAGAGTCTCTCGGGAGGCTGGATTAGCCACAAGTTGTGGTGAACCAGGGTAAATCTTGGTGTGCTCCCTTTACTCCTTTTTATTCCGCTCTTTACTTTATCCCTGCGATTTTTATTCCGCGAAAATTTATAAACATTCTCGTGCCTCACTATTCACCCCCCCTCTAGTGAAGGGCACTTATTCTAACAAAAACTTCATAAATATAAGTTGATAATAAGAAATTTTCCTTTATTAAGTATTCAATTATAAGTTATTCTCAAATAGTCCTTTGAAGTCATGGCTTAAATGAATTTCGATCATTTTCGCCAAATTTATTTTTGCAATAAGTTTATTTTCAAAAGTTTTCTTATCTTGAGAACATGACTAATTTATTCATTTATATTTGAGATATTTTTCCTAAAAATTACTTTGCATTTGAAATGTGTTCCTTGATTTTTTATTGAGAACATCTATTTTCCACTATAGATACTCAAAAAATATTTTTTATTACTTATTACTACCTTAGATAAAAAAGAACATGAAAATATCCTATGTCTAAAGTAACATTTTTTCATTTTACACTTTTATTCAATTATACGTCAAAAGTTAAACATTATTGATGTTAAATAGTTTAAATTGAGACATTTTTTCATGGATGAAAATTTCATGGATTATAATTTTATATTGTAATTAATATTTGATTAAACTAATATCCTTTTCTATAAATCCACAATTGAAAAGAAATGAGAAGTATGAAATCTTTTACTTCCATAGTCATTGAATTCACGAAGTAGAGCGAAATATAAAGCAAGAAGAATAACATGTTTTGAATAAAAAAGTAAACCTGCATGATGCAGTATATGGATTATAAGTGGCCGTGATAGAAGAGCCAAAGTCTTTAAACACCTTTAATTTATAAAGCAAATCATAAAAAACCAAACACTTATAAATCATAAAATGTTTAGCGGGTAATCTTAAATAAAAACTTATCAAATCAAGATAGGATCCGTTGAAACTATAAAATAAAATATCTAGTCTTTAGTCTTTCCCTATTTTGATGTTCTTCATCATCTTGCTCGACTCATCCCCACTTACATGATAATGTTCCACGTCTTTCATTCTTTTGTTGATAGTAGTCTCGATGATAACATCAACATCTTGTTCCAAGCGATTATCCTTAAATTCTCCAAAAGCTTCAATCAAATTCTGCATGACAAAGTTAAAAAACGTTTATGAAGTTTAATCAAGAATAAGTGTTGTTGTGATACAACATGTTGATTCATTACTGTCTGTTTTGTTCCAGGCTCAATTGTTCCTGAAGTCTAAAACAATAGGCAATTTTCTTCTCAATAATTCCGTTAGGTACCTAATTTTAGGCTTTTCTTTTAAATCTTACTATTCAATGAATTGCAATGGTAAACTCACTTGTATCTAAAACAAACAGTATTACATCATTAGTGTTGTTCAAACCTGAATATGGGTACGGGTATGGTTTCAACAGGCTCTTTTATTCATGAGGTCTTCACCACCTTAAGTCTTGCATTGACATCTATCATCTCTGTCTCTACCCATTTGTTACGATGGATAGTCTGTATCCCATAAACATATTAAATCAAACCAACCAAATTGCCAGTCAGTCATTGTAGTTGATAACCCAAATGCGCAGGCATACTCTGGAATCAGAGGTCATAGCTTCCATTCTTTCAACTAATAGGTTGTTTTCTTCCTGAATATGGGTATGGTCTCGACATGGTCATTGCATGAACTGTCTTGTTCCTGAAGTCTTCACTGCCTTTAATTCTGGCATTAAAGAGTATGGTCTCAATGCCTAGCAAAGCCGGGTTCATGGACAGTCAGTCTAGCATAAAGCATATCAAATCCAACACATTAAATCATCTGTCACTCATTGTAATAGATAGAGAAAAGTTGAATACACAAAATTTAATGCAAATTTTGGCATTGATGGGCATGGCCTAAAAGTCAATAATGTTAGGTATTTGCATTCATCAAGCACCTTAAGTCATATTCAAGTATTTGCTTGACTTTAAGTTTATACTTTTCTTTTAAATATTTTGAGAATCCAGAATTCAAGATATTTCATTGCCTTCATTTATTTTAATGCTTACAAATATCTACAGTACAGAATTCTTATGAGATATTCTAGAATAATTTTAAGTAGTACTTTTAAAAAGAATATATGTTTAGTGTGCAGGAATATGAATTATGATGGCCTTCTTTGTTTCACCACTCAGAAGAAAAATGTGGTAAACTTTGATTCGTTTCAACAACTAGGCAAGGCTCGAAGCCATGTCTCATTTGGTATTGCTTCTTATTCTCTGTTTGATTTTATGTAAATGGTTAGCTTGTTCTGTTTATATCTTTCATTGCTTAAGTGAGTTTAAGCTATCAAGTGAAAGTGCGAAAGTGCGAACTGAAAGTTTCTCTTTTGAAGTGATCTCTAATTTGTTGAATGAATATAGCTAATAGCACATTTCATCAAATACTACTTCTCATTCTTACAAATTAATCACATTAAGAATTACGTTCATTCATTGTTTACTTTTATTTGTGCACATGGTTACCAATTAGGATTTTTTAAAAGTATTTATGAATCATGACTGCTTAGGAAATAGTTTTCTTATAATATGCTTCTAAATCAAAATATGCTGAAGAAGGTTAGTTGATGGCCATAGTTTGATGATCCTCTTTGAAAAGTATGAAGATTGAAAATGTTTTTTTATCTTTCTAAACTCATATGTGATTTTGCTGTTACTTTTTGATAGGTTCAATTGCAATCAGAAAATAGGAGGGATATGAATTCGGAAGCACGTGTGCAGAAGCGTTAAAACCAAGTGAAGAAAAGGATCTGGAGTTGGTACAAATTGAAAAAGAGTTCATCAATTTCAGGAATCACATGCAAGGTAGTATTATTGTTTTTAGTATTTTTTGTCTATATAGATCAGTCTTTGCTTTCCACCTTTTATTGTGCCAATATGACTACACTCTTTACTCCCAATGCCTTTTCAAAGTTGATGGTACAGGTTCACATTCTTTATGGGCACAGTTCTTCAACGAAGTGAAGGATTTGATTCCTCCAAATTTGAGAATGGATTAGAGATGAGGATGAGGACACAGAGTGTTTGATGCATAGATGGCAACTATGCCATTGTACCAAATTGATTCACCAGACGGTCTCAAAGAAGGGAACGAAGAACATGCATATGCCATGGATGAATTTTCAGGGAAGAGTAATGTGATATATACATACTCTGTATGTTTTTATTTCTTTATGTTTAATTATTTACAGTCAAATTTAAATCTTTCTGCAATTTAGAACTCTAAGTTGACAAGGTGTTGGAGGGATACGCAGATTAAAGATGCATTAGGATTTAGGAGACTTCAACAAATGTGTGGATAGTTAGGTGGGAAAGAAATGAATGTAAATATGTCAGAATTTTATTTAATTTGAAAAGCAAATAATTTTGTATATTAATGGACTAAATATATTATTTGAGTGCTTAAGTGTTGGATTTGCAAGTAACTTGGAGTATTTTTTTATACAATATTTCTATGGTTAATGAATTGCGTTGTGACATTTAAGATACACTAATCTTTTAGAGAGGAAGCATATATCTAAAGCTAAAGAATTGCAAAGTATTGGAATAGATATGTGGATTCTTTTTTTTTACTTCACTATGAAAAGTATAGTGCAAAGCTCAAGAAGCTTGTAAGCTTTACTCTGAGTTTTTGGAGTGGGATGTTGAAGTACTTCTTTAGTGGTGGGATGATTTAAAACTTAGAGCAGAGATAGAGGAAAGGTGTAAAGAAACTAATTTTGTTGACATGAGGATGCCAAAGCAGGAATCCTGATTTGTTGTAGCCAAAAAACTTAATCACATTTGTCTGCACCAATTCATGGAAGGTTTTGAATGGAGAATTTATGAAAAGACCATTCATTGGGGTGCTTTACTACTTCACTCCCTTTTTTCTCACATACTCCATGATAAATTTTGTTATGAATTAAAAAACATACCTCTATGGAATTTTTAGGTGTTAAAATACTCCTATTAATATTTTGGGGTAACAAACATACCCTTATTGAATTGACAAAAATATCCTTTGACAAAAGTCAATAACAAACTCTATTACACGTTGCTTACTAATTTAAAATCTACTTTTTCACCGTAATCCATCTTAAGTTATTATCTCATGAGTGACGAATTGACAAAGATTGAAAATCTTAACTTTGCAATGAAGAGAATATTCCCATGGACCACACTTGAAAATGTTGTGCATAAAGAAATTGGTCTCAACATGGTCATTGCATGAACAGGCTGTCTTGTTCCTGAAGTCTTCACTGATTTAATTCTTGCATTAAAGGGTATGGTCTCAATGCCTAGCAAAGCCGGGTTCATGGACAGTCAGTCTAGCATAAAGCATATCAAATCCAACACATTAAATCATCTGTCAATCATTGTAATTGATAGAGCAAAGTTGAATACACAAAATTTAATGCAAATTTCGGCATTGATGGGCATGGCCTAAAAGACTAGCAATGCTAGGTTCATGGACAGTCAGTATAGCATCTAGCATAGTAAATCTACATTTTACAACTTCTGTCAGTAATTCAAATTGATTGAACAAAAACCCAGTCATGTACTCTATGTTCAACTGCCATAATTCTAGAATTATAGGGGTATGTTGTCAATGTCTAGCAAATCTGCTGTGTTCAGGGACAGTCAGATTAACATAAAGCTTATCAAATCCAAGATATTAAATACTCTGTCGGTCATTCTAATATATATACCAAAGTTGAATACACACAATTTCATGGCAAATTCTAGCATTGATGGGTATGGTCTCAATGTCTAGCAAATCCAGGTCTCAATGCCTACCAAATGCTGAGGATATAATGGATGATGTTATCTAACTGCGTCAAATTTTCAGTTATATATATATATATAGTTATATATATATATATATATATATATATATATATATATATATATATATAAAATGAGAGTTGAGCTTCCAGAATTATGAGACTTGGCACGCTGACTAAACAATTTTTTACATAATTACTTTATTATAAATAAAATTATATATTAAATTTTAAAAGAGGAAAACTTGGCAAAAATGAATATATTTGTATGATTTTTTGTAACTCATTAATTTATTCATACATATTTTCTTATAAATTATAAAATAATGGGAAATTCCATGTGGAGTTTCATATAAATATTTTCACTAACATGGAAAATATTTAAAGGAATAAGGAAAAGGACAAAGCTTTTATTTTTGATTAGTATATATGCTTCATAAGTAACCCAAAGCTTTTATTTTTGAAAAACTATCATTTATAGAGAACACCGATTAAAATTTTGTCCCTAAGTGACATTGAATAATAGTAATAATAATGATGATGACAATGGTATTTTAATGATGATTAAAATATAAAATTTACATAAGAAAGGCATTATGAACCAAAGCTTTTATTCTAATACACATAAGAAAGACATTATGGACCAAAGTTTTTATTCTAAAAAGTTATGTATAAAAAAAATAAAAAATATATTTATAACGCATGCCAAAAAAAGTACAATTTTATGTTACATATTACATATACAGATAGCTAGAGATGGATCGTCATTTACTATAGCCACGCATAATCAAACCCATTTAAAAAGTAATATATAAGCTATATGATGTGACAAATGGTATTTATATTTCGAATTAAATATTTTATATTTCCGGTACATTTTTTCCAAAAAATTATCTATACAGTGCTTCAAGAAGATAACAATTTTACACTAAATTCATAAAGCTTTTGCGTGCATAATAGACAACATAATTGATCCGTAGCTGCTACCATAAATTCATCAAAATTGTGGTTCTATTTTAAAGTTTATACGTTAACGAGGAGTAAGATTGCATTCATCAATGCCCTCTTGCACAAATTGGGACACACAAGCTTTTTTTATGGGATACTCAAACCTGGAGATAAAAAGGGTGGAAACGTGATTGATGGATACTCAACCTCATTCTTGATTCTAGACATAATTTATCTTCTCAAGAATAACTTATGAAAATAAAACCAAATGTTTGGGTTTCCTAAACCATAAAATAGTTTTAATCTATGTTATTAAAAATTTGTGAGAAATATATTATCTTTATTTCAAAAAAATAATCCATTGAAAAAATTTCAGAATCGAAAAAGATTTTGTTCAACACCATGCATGACTCAGGTCAAAATGTTAGTATCATATCATCATTTAATATAAAATTTGAGAGTTGATTCATTTAAAATTATGACATGTGTAACTTAAAGAGATTTAATTTTTTGACACACCACGCCTTAATACTTAGGGGGTGTATTCAATTAAGATTCTGACCGATTTTTTTGTATTTTAAAAGTTAGTAGGTATTCAATTGAGATTTTGAAAAGTCATTTAAAATTTGAATGTATTCAATTGGGATTTTAAAAAATCATTCAAAATTTGAATATATTCAATTAAGATTTAAAAAACTCTTTTTAAATCTAATGGTATTAAAAAAGTGATAGATT